AAACCCCCTGGTAAGTTTAAAACCTCTCGGCTGTGCTGGGCCAAGTGATGGTTTAGTATTAAAATCTCTCCTAAAATAAATAAAATGAAAGCAAAAATCAGTTACAAAAATTCTGACACACACCCCTGTGGGGGTTGTGGTACATATATATAATCATATTCTTTTTGACTGCCCCAGACTTGCTGATCTCCGTCCCGATAGGTCTGGTAAACCAAACATTCTCGCCTCGTATAGTGACATGTATGCACTAAGCGAAAAAAAAAAAGGAGTTAAATTTGATGATGATCATATATTATGAACAAACAAACAAACGCTACAAAGTAGACCTACAACCAACTTCTATATAAATCTAATTGTGGTGTGTAAGGCATGAAATTAGAAAAAAAAAATTCATATATGAAATATGTACAAAGAAGTGCATCAACTACTGTCCTTTCAACGAACATTTGCATCTAATGTTTAAATCGAATTATGTTATTTACATACACATTTACAAAAAAAAAAAAGATTTAAAAAGCATTTAGGGTTTAATTGATTTTAGCGTAAATGTGTGCCTAACGACTGACTGGAAAGGAATAAACACAAATTTGATGAATGTTTTTCAATTAAGTATATTGTATCTATTTTTTCTTTTATTTTGCTTGTAAAATTTTTATCAATATTTATCATTTGATCTATTCCCCAGTTATTATGTTACTTTTTTATGGCAGCAGGATTTATTACAATTATTATCTTGTTGGTGATTTTCATAAATAGTATGGATTTCATTTCCCCTTCTATTCAAGTGCTAGTCACAGTCTTTACTAGCATAATACCTTTGTTACTCAAAATAGCGTTCTCTAAAGGCCACAATGACTGCACCCTATTCTTTGAAACAGAAGAGTAAGTGCTATAGAGATTACCTCATTAAACATTATTTAAAGATATTAACTCAAAAACACAATTTGCATTAACAAAAAAAAAGCTTAAAGTTACAGCTTGGTGTTACTTTTTTTTTTAAATTTATTTTAATAGATTTAAGAAGAAAATGGAATCTTACGAAGAACAATTTCAAAAGGCGACACAAATAGAAACCCAAGCTGTAAGCAATCCACAACAACGATCACAGCAGGACAATAGTGGAAATACCGGAGAAGTATCACAGTCCCAGAAGAGCAATGCTGACGAAAGAGCTAAGTCATCTTTAGCTTCAGGTGGCGTTATTGAACAAGGTGGCGATATTGAACATGGTAGCGATATTGAACAAGGTGGCGATATTGAACATGGTGGCAATGACAAAAGAAAGAAAAATAAAATATCGAAAGAAACGTATAAGCTAAAGGTGCAATATTCAAACGAAGAAATCCCTCTACTTCAGGGTGAAAAAAATAAAAACGTGACAATAACATAATTGTTCAAAGCTCTTGTCTTAAAACCTTGAAAACCATTATGGTGTTTGAGTTGCCTGTCTGTCCATTTACCTTATCTTAGTAAAACTGGAATAAATGAAAACTTAGTGAATACCTAAAACACGAGTCTAATCTTTTAAAATGTCATAGTTATGATTATGCGCATAATCTATAAATTATTTTTAAATCTGACGAAGAAGACATTTGTGTTACAAGTTGTTACAGCTCTACTCAAATTGACAGTGTTAATATATTGTATCTATATCGCCCTGATTCTGATGTAACTATACTATATCGTTTTGATTTGAGCTGATGCAACTAGACTATATCGTTTTGATTTGAAGCTGATGCAACTAGACTATATCGTTTTGATTTGAAGCTGATGTAACTAGACTATATCGTTTTGATTTGAGCTGATGCAACTAGACTATATCATTTTGATTTGAAGCTGATGTAACTAAACTATATCGTTTTGATTTGAAGCTGATGTAACTAAACTATATCGTTTTGATTTGAAGCTGATGCAACTAGACTATATCGTTTTGATTTGAAGCTGATGTAACTAGACTATATCGTTTTGATTTGAAGCTGATGCAACTAGACTATATCGTTTTTATTTGAAGCTGCAAAATAAAAAAAAAAGGTGTGTATTAATTAAAATCACCTTTTGTTGTGACACACTGGCCATTGACTATGAATTTATTACACACTTCATGTCATTGTCAAATTAATTTCAACTGACCTACACAAGTACAACCCAGATTCACAAACACACACACTTTCATCCGTGACCCCAATGTAAAGTGACGTAATAGCTGTATTGTTTTGTTTTGTTTGACAAAGTTCGATTGTACTTTCAGAAATGAAGATCATTTCATCCTAGACCAAGCCTCTCGCATGACGACCGTGGAGAGGGGTTGGACGGTTTTAATTCAGAACCATCGGGACGATAGCTAAGGGCGCTTACCACTCGACCAAATAGACATCTTGTAAAATTAAATATCTCATTTGTCTTTACTACGATTTTTTTAATTACGTATGTTTATTTGTAAAAAAAAAAAGAAAAAGAAGCTGAAATCCTATACTGTTAAGAGAGCAATTCTTGTATATATGTATATATATTTATATATAAATTTTTATTTCGAAAACGGCTCTAACGATTTTTTTTTTCAATTTGAAGGTACGTGCATATTAATGTGAAAAAATTCTCAACTCATTGGCCACATCGGGAAAACTCGAGGTCGACAGTTATATCGGTTTGAAAATGTCTCATTATCGAACAATTAATTTGGCTAAAATATTTTATGAATGAAAATTTTCCATGACGTGAAACGGGAAAAACACCACTTAGATCACTAGGCTTATAGCAGTACACTAAATCTTTGCAAACAAGAACAAGTTTTATGAATCAATTAGCCTAATTAAACATTATCGCACCATCTTATTGTAGATTGATTTATTATGGAACTATGGAAGAGAAGTAATGAAATTAAATTTACTTATGTTTGATTAGTTATTGTGTTTTAAGTGCTTTATAAGTTGTTTACACTTTAATTGCGTAGAGCCGTGGTTATAGCTTTTACTTTGCTATTTTGCTGGTGATTTCCAGCTATCTCGTTCTGAGGCCGCATGCAACCAGGTGCTCTCTTCTAGATCTATGTCAGTCTGTGCATAAGCAGGTCTTTAAAGCGTTTCCGTGAGGCACCTCTGTTACATTGACCACCTATTAGGTCTCCAAAAAAAAAGACCGCCTTTGGCATACTTTTGTCTCCCATACGACATATGTTCCCTGCCAAGCGTAACTGTCGGACCATAAGAAGTCTCTCTATACAAAGGCCGCGGGGTACACATTTGAGACCAAAAGAAAATCCGCTGCCGATGACAGACGCAGACGACGAAAAGAACATCTTAATTGACCACCTGCGGAAAAATGGCTACGCTTGTTCTGGATGTGGCAAAATATGTAGGTCACAGCTGGGGCCTGGGTAGCCACGGGAAATACTGCAATCCTCGTTAATCTTCGGCCTCGAAGACAAGCCTTATTATTTTTTGGCTGGTGAATTATTACCATGTGCTCAAGCTTCGAAGTCTACAGTCCCGTACTAAAACAAAGGAAATGGTCATAACACAGCGTCTCTACGCCTTACCTACTCACACTGAACATGATATCTCGCGGTCAACGAATTTGCGTACGCTGCAGCCTCTTTTAATTGAACTTTAAACCTCGGTAAAAAGCTTTTGGGGTTAGGGCGAGGGGATGGAAAGCCCTGGAGAGATCTGAATTGAGGGATGCAGGGCCGTACCCTTCCATGGGCTGTAGCGCCACTGGGATGGATGAAAGCAGGTATGAGCTTCTTATAGTCCGACTGGGCAGGGCACGCATCCAGTATGAGGGACGAACATATGCCCCATGGCAACGTTTCTTTAGAAAACTAACGCAATGGTTTAAATCTATTAAGAAATAATGCGCCATTTTTCTTAGTCACAAAGTGCCTGTTTTACCCTATAACTTTAAGATATCCGTCAATTGTGTTTCGTATTAACGCCAAAATATTAATTGCAAAATTAAATGTCTGAACGTAACCAGTTGAGAGGTTACATTGCAAAGACTTTCTTCCAAGCCAATAATAGTACAATAGTTTTACGCAAAAGATGCATTGAAAACGACATGACTTGAGCTGTGGTTTGACTAGACTCTAGACTGTAGGAGGTCTTAAGAGACTTTATATTTAATCGCCAAGTACAATTACATTTAGAATCTACAGAACACAAAAGCAACTTTTCAGATTAGTAGTCTTCACCCGATCCTTCATTTTGGTAATTACAAAAATGTTCCCAAAATGACTTCGGGTATATATTCTTAACCGAACGAGGCTCGGCGACCTGGTATTGTAATTTATATGATTCTAAGTAACGTTGAGTAGTGTATCTTTCTTTGTACACGTGATACACTTAGCTGTTTAATAGTTTTGCATGCTACCCTAGTAATTGTCAATTTCACCAAGTGTGCAATATTTCTGAGAAACTTGTCACATAAGTTATAACTTACCAAGTAGTAATTTATGTCATTGTTCTTCTGAAAATGTAGCGCGTACACACTTCGTGCTTTTTCCATCACGGCGAAAAGTGGTTTGGGTGAAAGTGTGAAGCAATTAAAAGGAGTTGTTTACATTACACTGTAACGGCGAAATGATCGCAACGCACTTAGAAAAAGTCGTCGTGCTCCAACCGAGACTATCGTTATAGTAGGCCTCAAGGCTGACCTTCGACGTTGCAACCTCTGGGCAAAGGAAATCAATTAGCTCGTATCCACTTCTTACAGACTTGTGACACCGAGGTCAGTGTTCAACCCTCGATGACTTTTGGTCTCGGCTCGCCAAGCATGACGAATTGGCTCACGTGACAATGAGGTGCTTGTAATATGGGAGTGGGTGATGCTGAATATGGGAGTGGGCGATGCTTAATATGGGAGTGGGCGATGCTTAATATGGGAGTGGTCGTGGCTTAATATTGGAGTGGGTGATGCTAAATATGGGAGTGGGCGATGCTGAATATAGGGGTGGGTGATGCTGAATATGGGACTGGGTGATGCTAAATAAGGGAGTGGGTGATGCTAAATATAGGCGTTGGCGATGCTGAATATGGTAGTGGGCGATGCTAAATATAGGCGTTGGCGATGATGAATATGGGAGTGGGCGATGCTGATTATGGGACTGGGTGATGATGGACATTGGCGATTACAATGTGTTCTGATGAAATTAGATATAAGTGAGGGAGATTTCCGCGGCATTAGCATCACTCTCTCACAATTGCAGTTGACGACCAGTGTGCTCTACATACCACACACTCACAGAACGTTTCGATGTGTTTGCTAGGTGACGCCTGCTGGCTCTGGTAGTCCAACTCATTGACTTAAGCGCCATGCAGCCGATTGTATAGATTCAAACATGTACAACACTCACATTCGTAACAGAGCAAAATTCTAAAACATTAACAGTTTGTGTAATTTTATAAACTGATAAATTACATTAACTTTTTATTTCGAATTGATGTATTTTTATTTGTCTAACTTGAAAGCCCCATGTAGCTATATAAAGAAATAAATATATAAATATACTCATTACTAAACATTTGATATTTATTAGCCTTAGTTTCTATTTTTTCTACCGTTGTGTTGTTTTTAAATATATTTATGTATATAACAAAATCGGACTTTCGTCTCAATCTACTTTTGTTTAATACGCAATACTGTTTGTAATGTTACCATTTCTTCATGTGTGTATCAAAGAAAACTTGAGAGCGAACTACGAGTCCTGCTAATGGTGAAACCAGGATTTTAGATTACAAAGGCGTAGTTCTTATAACCTGAATATTATGTAAATTTTTAGGACGTAAAGGCAGCTGAACGTTGTGCTGGTCACATGACACCCTCGTTGGCCGACGACTATAGAAACAGATTGCATTGTTCCGAAAGATCAGATCTTTACAAATGAAACTTCTGCTTTGGCACACATAATTAGATAAAAATAATATTGACATTTTCTAACATTATTTGCTTTCTATAAGGAAAATGACACTGAAGGTGGAAAACGAATACAATAGTAATTTCTGCCAAAAAATATTTGCACATTGTTGGCTAAAGAAATTTCATCATACTTGACAAAAACACCTGGCATAGGCATACCGTTAACACTTGTCATATCCATCTAAAATCGAAGATGTTACAGAGACATAATGGAAATGAATTATCTGAATTATAAATGACCTAATAGAGATTTTCCATGTCATTTACACGAATGTGGAATAAGAATAATAGTTCGTAGTAACAGTGGCGTAACTAGGATCAGTGTCACAGAGTGCGGAACACTCAGGGTGTCATTACCATACACACTCACACCTCCAAAACAATGGCGCCCCCCAATCCCAAACAAAAAAAAAGTTTTTTATTAAACCATAATATTGATTTTTACACTGGAAAAAATTATTGTCGGTTCTATTTCTAAAATTTCGTAACGACATTTTATCAATAGTTATTATATAAATTAAAAATGTAAAATTACGTAAATTAGAAATGAGTTGTACCACTTTTCTGAATTAAAAGTTTTTAAAGACATCCTTACAAATAACGCTTTTAATTATACTAGTGTTTCAAAACTGATGCTAAAGAAGCAGAGCATGCAATTAAACAGATTTTTGTTCCGCGAACCACCAACATGTGAAGCCTGGAATACAAAGGCTGAGGATAATTCTTGTGGATTAAAAAAAATAGCGTTCGATAGCTTCCATCGCGAATCACTATGAAACGTATCAATCGATTTATGGCGACCCACAACAATTTGTCAAGATTCTGCCAAATCTCTACAGCAATTAAGCTGTTGTGTTACAACATACGATGGAATAACGGAGCATCGAAAATTTCTGTTTCAACTTATCACTGACGCTGTTATTATTTTAAAATCTGAATCAGGTAGCATTCGTTATCCCATGACATGAACCCATCAGACTGACAGACCTTGATTTTGCAGACGATATAGCATTGCAATTACATGGAGATAACGGATAGCTTATACAGAGACTCAGTCAAAGTTATGCTTTTTTGCTTGCATGTCGATTGGAGAAAGGAGGTGCCACTTTCAAATAGTATGGCCTATATGAACAAACTAATCAATTAACCTGAATACAAGATCCTCCTCCTCCTCAATACCATCATTTTCCCAACGGCCACCTACGCTTTGGAAGGTTCAAAATAGGCTAAACGTGGCTCAGCTCTGAAAAGAAGAAAGCACAAATAAGGACTTCTAGCGATAACAGCACGTTTCACATTTTTAGAAGACCTAAAATCTGTGCACACCAACTGGATAGAAGCTGTGAAAGTCGCTTTGACCAGCGGTTCTCAACTTTTTTTTTAGTTCGGCAACCCCTATAACGATTCCCCACTAGGCGACGACCCCCAATCGTTCATAGGCCTAGGTAGACCCTAAATGTGATTTTGCTGATGTTATAAAATCATAATCAAATTTTAAATGTATATATGAGTATCTGACATCCATGATGTATTTACATAGCAAAAGCTTTATGTAATTTTATTTAGTGTAAAATAAATTACAAAAAAAGTGTATTTTTAATGTACACCATCTATGGCACAAATGTGATTGATACAACACGAAATAATCGTATGACGAAAAAAAAACTGAAAACAATGAAAGATAGACAAGAAAAATAAAAAACAAGAAATTTCCGATGGTCTTAGGCGACCCCTGGCTAATGGTCATTCGACCCCCAAAGAGGTTGCGACCCACAGGTTGAGAACTCCTGCCTTAGAGGTATCTCTGTGAAAAAACTTGCGCCATCTGCACCTAACGGCATTCAAGGGACTAAAAGTCTATAAGTGTTTCTCAAAGTTTCGCAGCTTAAAATGTTGGGTTCGCTTTCTCCCCCTCCTCTTATTGTTACAATTATGTCTCACGTCTTATACAGTTGTGCCGAAAGTAATAATATATCATGTAGATGTATATTTATATATACAATGTAGATATAGTTAATACGTTTGTTTGGATATCTAGCTACCGTAACTTTATTTTAAAAAGTGTATTTGTGTGCACTTGGTTGTCACCCCTTGGTGGGTATCACACGGTTAAGCCCGCACTTTCCACACCCCCCAAATGACGCCACTGCGCCTACTTCATCCATTTCTAACAACATATTATTGTGAAAAAAAAAATGTTTTCCCATACTATTAGATATTGAATTACCTTAGGCTCCGCAATGCTTTTAACATTGTAACATTATTATACAACATAAATATGGTAAATATGCAATGGGGAAATGTAAATAAACGCATGACATTTTAAGCTAAAATTTAATGTATTTGTAATTTTTATTCTAAACAAAGTTGACAGCAACAGAATTATGACGACAAATATACATATTTTGTGATTTAACATAAAGTTTTAGCAATACACATCAGACATTTACAATATGATTACATTTTTTTAAATTAGAAAAAGCACAGGTGTATGAACAAAATACTTTTTTTTATCTTGATTAGTAGGTTAATATCTTATCTTATCTTATATAAAAGAGAAATACAGACGTTACTTCAAAAAAGAAGATGATTACGTCCTACGCGTCATGCATTTAGGCATGCATATTAACCAAGACTTAAATAATAAATAGGGTTTGCCGACCTAAAATGGTTTAGAACCTCTGTAATAGAAATAAATACGAAAGTCAAAATGGAACAACTCATCTCGGCTCTTATGAAGACAAAATATTGCCCTCTATGTATCCAAATAATTTTATTTTCCAGATAATACAGGGATAGGCATGAAGTTGTGGAAGTAAGTCTCCAAACATGCAATGTCGCATCCAAGTAAAATTTGTTTGGAACAGAGATCTATTCACAAACATTACGTGTGACGGGGTTGGTTATAATTACATAAAGAAATATTTATTCGCAACCCCCCCCCTCCTCTCTCTCTCTATCTCTCTTTCTCCCTCTGTATATATATATATGCTTTTTTTACATATATTCTCTTCGTTATCTCTATCAATGAAGTTATTTTACTTGTAAAGTTCCAAATTTAAAATCTGTTTTGTGCAGATGTTGAGATCCTGCATTGGTATCTAAGTTAGTTCTAAAGCTGACAGCTATCATTATATATCTGTTTATTGCACTTTTTGATTTCCAGCATTAATATATTTTTTTTAGCACTTCTTGATTTCCGGCATCGATATCTGTTGTTCGGTGCACTTTTTAACTTACTGCGCTTATATCTCTACGGTGCACGTCTTAAACTGCTGAACTGGTATCATGCTGAAGTGCTGCATTAATATATGTTTGGTGCTCTTCTTGGCGTCCTGTATGAATACCAGTTTTGGACGCTTTTAGAGATCCTGCAGTCATTTTTGTATCTTGAGTTTGCTGAAGGTTTTTGCTTTCTTCAGAAACTATCCAGGATTCATTAAAGGAATTTAATTGTTTTCTTACATTGTCTACAAACCTGTGAAATAAAAAGCAAATAAACATGACCGTACACAATCACATTGTTGAGTATAAAAGCATCTTTATTTTTTAGTAGCACTTTGCCAGCAAAGACAAAATAGGAAAAGATTAACATATTTTTATTAGTTTTGTATTCCAAGAATACACAAACAAAATATCGAAGTAATTGTCATTTAAAATTTTTAAGGATTTTTTTATTGGATATCTTTCATAATGTCATTATGACAGTTTTCTCAAAGGTCTCGGATTCCTCGGCCACCTCCGACGTCGTGGGTAGGATCGGGCAAGGATGTAATAATCTTCAAATTAGGATGAATAACGGAAATATGTAATACATTGTTAAAACATTGTTACACGAAACAAAGATTATATTACAAAGCTTATATCAACTCACTATGTTTGTCTGGTAAAAAGTTTGTACATGTTATTTCTCCGACACCAAATCTCGAATGGAGCTGAAATTTGGCAAAATTATTTCTTCAACCTAACAGCACAAGAAGCAGTTTAAAAAAAAACAGCTAATTAGATAATGAATTATTGGTAATACATCATTTTGTTTGTAATTTCGAACAAGGAAAAGAAATTGTACATGACTGAAGTATAAGCTGAATTACGTCGCCGCGTTAAAATAAGTTTGAAACAAAGATTACTATACAATCATCTATGTTCATAATCACTTCACTAGCACAGTGGTTAGTATGACGGCTTAATGATGCTTAAACTATGAGTTCGAATAAAGGTCATTTCCTCTTTTTTTGTGTGTGTTTTTTGTGTGTTATAAATGTTTTAATATATACTTTGATGGTTAAATTAATTTAAAAGCAAATTAAAAAAAATAAAAGCTTTTATATAGAGCAACTTTCATGCTTATAGCATTATCAGAACGCTATGATCCAATCTCATATATGGACCAGTGGGGGAGGGGGGTAATCTAGGAGAAGTTTTTCAGTGCTGCCTCAAACATTAAACACAGCTCTTCTCAAGTCAAGTGTCGATCCCTGAGCCCCCTAGATAGGTAGCCAAACCGAGTTCAAGCGTACTCGGCCACACATTTAGATATTTCTCTCCCCCCCCCCCCCCCCCCCCCCCCCATATTTGCCTAACTGGACAAGTGATAGGATCGTTGCGTATTGAGAAAACTAAAAGCTTGAGACAGCGCTAAA